CCCCCCTGAGAATCAGTCGCTGGAACAGCATCAGGCAGACGAAGAACTGGACATCAAGGTGAAAAGAAAACAGTGTTTAAAGGGGGGGGGGAGAGACGGGTTATATTACAGGAGCAATGACTTGGAAATTAATCATGGTTTATTTTGATCGACAGCTTTTGCGCATGATCCGTGAGGAGATTCTACCCCATTCCGCTGCTCTGCCTAAAGACTTCATGGCACGAGTCATGGCGCTCCTGAACAGAGGCTCAATTCACTCAGCTGCAGACGCCACTTTTAGCGGTACATAGCTCATTAACTGAATTCTCTCAAAGAATGACGCAGAGAATGTATGAAAATAGTTAAATAAAAAAATTTATCAGCAGCATCTCCTGTGTATTTAAGCACTGGTCGGGCATGTCAAGAAGACCGTGATTTTCTTTATTGCGTTACATTGGCTGCGGCCGCATTAAGCGAGTTCACTGGTTTTTTATAGAAACCTGGTTAAAATTTCCAAATAACTTAACTCGGTTTAAGATTGGTTATGATGAAACAACAGGGTTATATTTTATGAGCGGCAGCATTGAAATGGGTTATGAAGTGGTGAAATAAATTGACATCATGAGGTAAATCAACAAAATGGCAGACTTCAAAGGACTACGTTCTTATTTTCTCGTTTTTCTTTCTTTCTTTTCGTTTCCTTTCGCCATACTCTTGGTTGAGGCAGTCCCTCTCCTGATGCGTTTTACGTAAATATCTGAGGCAGTTCTTTCGAACATGATGTTGATTTTGCTTAGACGTCAGAATATTCTCCGCCGCCGTGAATTTCGTGAACAGGTCGCCTTCGTCTTTTAGTCTTTCTATCTGTATATTTTATGCAATGAATAATTTTTTTTCATGTTTTTTTGTTTCTTGACAGGAACGGATGCTAACGGATTTCCTCTTCGTGAAGAGTTTGCCAAGTCTTGTTTCGAAACTTTGCTACAGTTTTCGTTCGTCAACGGAACATCTGAAGTGGATCAACTTGCAGAGCAGTCGGGTAGGAATTGTTCGTCATTATCTTATCTTGAAAGTGACAAAATAGTCAAATGCGCGACGTCCTGTTGTGACAAATAGTTAAATTAGCTCTTCGATGATATTCAACAAGGTTTCGCAGGTTTAGGGTGATCTTTGTGGACACAGGCCAGCCGTATTCGGAAGGCTTCAGCCGTCTTCAGTATATATTAACATCAGTCTGAAGTTTGCAATAATTATGGGTGAATTTCTGCTTCGTTACAAAGTTAATTGAGTAGAAATTTATCACTTTGACTATTGCCGTACAAATCAGTTAAATGAGCTGGTGGACTTGTAAACTCCCTCGATCTTTTTCCTTCATAGAGCCAATACCTTTTTGGAAGATCCTTAACCCTTTCACTCTTATGATCACATAAGTAATTCTTTTTACTGTCTGCTGTACAATTCTATGATGTTAGTTTAGAGAATTTGGTATTGGATTAGCTAACAATCCTTTAATTTATATTTTTCTTTATTCTTATCACTTGTCTGCTTGATGCTGTATTAATATTGTAAGGAGAAATTCTGCCTTGGTCACTCAGGGGAGTAATAGGGTTAATGAGTTAAGGGAGATTTTTGTGACCATTGTATGTTGTGTTGTAGACGGCAAGGTGTCAGAATTGGCCCTGGACGCTCTACTGAGACGATGTAGCGACGTTGTTGTTAAATATGTGGAAGATGAGAAACTGAGCGGAAAATGTCCTTTACCAAGGTAACAACTTGACTTTCATGTTTGACCTGATTTTTAACATCCCTGACTGCCGTTTCCATTCAAGTTTAAAATGTTACTGAGAGATCCCACAGAATTCAGCTTGGACGTCGTCAGTTCTTCCTTTTCGAGCCTCCATGCACCGGCATAAGAACATGGAACGCCATTGATTTCTGTCGCCTGTTGGTCAAGCTGGACCCATTTCCAGCCTCTCCTCCTCATTTCCCTTTCTACGGTTCTCCTCCAAATTTCCATAGGGCGGCCTCTTTTACGTTGGCCGTCGGTGGTCCATCAAAGGGCGACTCTAAGCAGAGCTGATGGTGGCATTCTGAACTCGTAACCGATCCATCTCCCTCTTTCTCCCTGGACTTTAAATGTTACTTACTAAAATTCTTGTGTTATTCATCAGAACGCGTATGGCGGAGATGTCTTTTGTCATGAAAGCCATTAGTACGTTGCTGTCATCCTTGAAAAGAGCTGTGAAGGAAAATCCTACCGTTGGTAAGCTCAATCATTCTTCTCTTCCCCTCTAAGGTGAATACTCTTCGTTAAGGATAGAGCTAAGCTCGTGAAACCCAATATGGTTTTTTTTCTTTTTGTTCAGTGGACGCGCAGATCTGGGAACAAGTCGTTGAGTTGTACCCGCGTCTTGTGGAATGTACCGTTTGTAACTCCACCCCCGTCCGCCGAGCTTTGCGAGAGGCGTTACAGGAGTACGCTGACCTGGTAAAACCGCCCATTCGTGTGTCGAAAGCTGTAAATGGTAAACGTTAAAACGCAGATTGAAGCAGAAAGACATCAACGATTCGCTTTTAAGCGTGTAAAGGAGATAATTTGACATTAAATTTTAAGAAGAGGATTTGAATTCCACCAAAGACTATTGAAAATACATATAATGAAGGAAATATGCATTTCAGAAGATATTTCTGGTATTGTGTCTTGCCGACTTCCAAGATGGTTCATGCGCGACGGTGAGCTGGAAACGAGTCGGAGAAACTACAGTTCCTTGGGATATTTTATAGGGGTTCATCCAATCCCCCACAATGCTCTTGGTTTATAGTCTCAAGCAAACAAAGCTGTTTACCGCAGGGGTATCCATAATTTAATTAAATTTCCGTGGGGTTTTTCTAGCCATTGAAGCTAATGAAAAAAGGAAATTGTGCCTAATCTTAAGCCATATTTGGCGAAGAAAAATAAAGGGGTTTTTTTAACCGTTTCAATTACGATAATTTATATTAACCAGGGCATTCGATTCAATGTTACTCCAAGTTATTAGAGTTAATCCTATGGAAAGAAATGTACAAATTATAAGGAGGATTATCATTTAGATCTTGGTAGTGAAAGGATTGGACCTCCTGATTTTCACTTATGTTTTCATGAGATGAGGAAAAAAAAGATTCCAATAGATTTTCACTATAGAGCAGTTTTGAAGCGAGTGTTGTAAAACAGAAACCATTGCTATTCTACAAGCCAATTGCAGCAAAGGAAAACAGCACAGCCGACCAATAGGAACGCTAAACAAACACGCGACATCAATATATGGCGCGAGTTTGTCAGCCAATTATTAGGCGACACTTAGTTAAAACTCGCTTTATAGTTATATCAGCACCTTCAACTCATTTTACGTGTCCTTTTGTCGAATATCTTAAGGAGCATTTCGTGGAAAATTTCAATATTTGTTGTATAAAAATAAGTATGAATTTAATTCGTAAAAATGTCGTGTGCAATAAAGTTAGAAGAGAAATCACGATAATTTTTTAGAAGTATTACGTTTTTACTCTGACTTTGTCATCGAAGAGCTCATTTCTAGAGATTTCTTGTTCCCATGTATAGAAAACGGTTCACCGTGTGTTACTGTATTAAGAGAAGACGACTCTCTTGGGAGCTTTCTTGCAAGTCAGTCTACAAGCAAAAGGATTTTGCCTAGTCTTTTGAGCATGCTAGCACGCTAGACCTCATTCGCTGACCTCTTTCTGAAACAGAAGTTAAAAATTAAATCAACAGCTAGTCAATATATTTCGTTTTACAACTGATTGAGAGAAACCGAGAGCTTTCGTGTAATTTTCGCGACTCTTCATTCCAAAAGCTCATTTGAAATTCAAATGTATTTTTTAAATCAATATTCATATTTGTGAGTAATCTTGCACGTGGAAGGAGCTTTCGAACTACCAGAAATTTCAGCTTATTTTTCAGCTACTTTCGAGCCAAGAAACTCTTCATTGCAACCCAATTACCTCAGACATAGTCTGTTCTGTCAAGGCCTGGCGTGGGTTACTTCAGGGTTGCAGAACCAAATGGTTTAAAGTCGGCGTCGAGTATCAATGAATGTCATTTTGCCTCGATGTTTTCAAGGTAAACAACCTTCGTATAAAAACATTTGAGATAGAAATACATTGTTTATGTTTATCGTTGTTGCCCCCGAAAAAATTGCAGAATTGAATGTTAAAAGATAGAGCATGCTACACACAAGAAAGTACAAGAACAGTCCTCAATGTCAGCCAGCCGCCATTACATGACGTCATTACATTCTTATTGAACCACGTGACATTGAGGGCAGCAACGACAATTTTTTTCTCTTTGTAATTTTACCTCTTATTTACCACGTTTATCTGCATTCGTCTCTGTAGTTATTTAAATACAATATACAGTTGTTTATCCTCATGGTGTTTTAAACGTTAAAATCGTTTTACGTGTTCTTTTTTCGGTCCTAACCCCATCTGCCACCGAAGTAAGAAGTGATTGTAAGAACGTCTTGATCAATCAAAAGTTTTATTACTATCCTAGATATCTCGGCCCAGGCCTCAGATCGAGAGGTCTGGCTTCAAACCCTCATTGGGTCAGTATTTTGCCAGTCTTGGGAAAGAAAACCCAATCTTACGGTGGTTCTCCATCTTAGATTTGCACTAAGTACAAGTGACCTCTTACAGAGAGATCTGTTAAAACACTAAACCCTTTGCACACTTATATCAATGTAGATATTCACCATACTGTTCTCTATACATTCCCTATGGTACTGACAAGAAGAATTTGTCTTACAATCACAGCTTCTCCGGTTGGCGATCATTTCCCTCATTCTCGTGACTTGATGTTTGATTCAGGAGTGATAGTATGGGAGGGGGGAGGGGGGGGGGGAAATGAAGATGCTAGTTATCCCATGATATTAAGTGTCACAGAAAGCAATCAACCAAAAATATGTATTCCTGGATTTATAAGATTTATTTTCTCTCTTATCAAGCTTGGAATAGGAATGTCTCGAATTCAAGAAATTCAAGGGAGGAAAAAAAATCAGGATGCCTTCCATTAAGGTGAGTTAATTTGGGTTTTTTTTTTAAATGAATTAATTATTACTACAACTCTGGATTTAACTAATATGCGAAATTCATAAAAAAGCGCGATGCAAAGTGACAGGAATTTCTCTTATTGAGGTTGTTTTCATTAGTTTACTACTCTGTTGGTTTGGGAGGTCATTACTAACATTTTTGTTTCCGTTTATGGAAAACAACCGAGTCGAAAGAATGTTTTGACATTACCGTGCATGTTATGGCCGACTATTTGACGTACATAGTTACCATAGCAACAAATCAGCCAGCTTTTGAATTTGAAGAGAGTGAGAGTGAATCGGCATGGAAATTTTTAAGGCGTTTGAATGATAACAAATTTGTACCAGATGCAGATAAGGAACTGTTTTACTCAATTCAAGGAGAATAACTTTGAGCCTTTTGATGAATGTCTAATCTCCTGAGGAGTTGAATAAAATTAAGAGTATGCTCCAACAGTTAGTAACTGAAATATCTGATAAGTATAAAGATCTGACTATTTTTTGTTTTAAAATTAAAATTTCATTCATTCAAAATATCGCAATTAAAGTACAATTTTAAAAGGTTTTGGTTTTTGAGGCTCAGAGAATATACTCAAGACATTAAATTGTTTGGAATTTTTTTCGAATTTCTCATCTTATTCCAAAGTAGGGTTTTTTAATTTGAATTAGTTATTTAAATCCTTGGATTCTGATTTTTAAATACCTGGGCATTTTAGAGTTAAACCAAATTTGATACGTTTCAAGCCTAGAATTTTCCAGTTTTGTCACTAGAACTTGTTATTACCTCTCCGATAAGAATGATGCCCTGATTTTTTTTTTCAAAACTGGTTGTATTTTCACTCATCTTGGAGTCTTTTTAATTGTTAAATTGTAAAAAAACAAACAGACAAAACAAACCAAAATTTAAAAATTAATTTTTTTAACTCTTGACGATCCTACAAAAAAAGATCTTTTAGGGCCAATATTTTAATCTCTTAGCTCTTTAGGCTAAGACCAAAATTCAAAGGCTATGCCAAAAAATTGTTATTTTTTCAAATTGTTCGCAGATTTTGTCTGTAATCTCAGATAGATTATTGATAAAGTTTCAATAAAACGTCAAGCTTGTAAGGCTAAAAATGAAATAGTAGTAATTTCTCCAGTTAGAACGATTGACGGTTGCATTTCAGTGCATCATTTGGTTGGGAATTTGGTTTCGATCTTTCCATTCTACTTTCCTGTTGTGGAATCCGCTTGGCGACTTATCTTGAGCTCGCAAGAAATTTAGCCTACGAACGCTATTGAGCATGCGCTTGAGATACTATGATTGAACTGAACTGAATCGCCAATTCGATTTTGTTTTTGTGCAAACTTTGAGTGTTTCCGTGGTCTTACTGTTTATGAAAAGATATTTGGAGCATGTGATTACCTTAAATTAAATATTTACACACCCGTGTTACGTTTGTAAAATTGGCTGCGTTGAAGATTTCCTATCCTGAAAAGCGTCGTTAAAAATCGTAGTCGAAAGAAAATGTTTACACATAGGAGTATAGACATTTTCTATAAATTGATAAGTACCCTTTGTTTTTCTGGTAATACGTCTTCACCAAAGCAAAGAAACTGTAAACTGCTTCCTGCCACCTTTATCCAAATCTCCGGGGAACTTGATTTAATTCACATAGTATTTCTTAGCAATGAGTGGTGCGTCACCAATAAAAAAAATTCAATGTAAAGCAAAACAAACAACAATTAAATCAAAGATTTTTTACAATGGGCAAAGAGACTTCTTTAACATGTATTGATTACCCATGTCAGTTTTCAAATGAATTTCCAGCTTCACCTTTTGCTAATATTCCTACATATGCATGTGAATAAGAGAAAATTTGGAAGAAACAGTTCTTTAGAGTATTATCACATGACCTGAAATAAGTACACAAAATAATACCAGCTAAAGAGGTTTATTGATCAAAAAACAGATTACTTTTATTTCATATGAACAACTTTTTAGAGTATTGAAATACAAAAACCTTCCAAGCTGAAATCTCCTCATGAAACGTATTTTACCATAGCTATTTTCTAAAGAGTAATTTTGAAAGATAATGTGTTAGCTTTTAATTCTCTTAAAACGTCTCTCAGGGAATTCGTTCTTAGTGTTATACAAAGCTATTTCACCATTTTTACGTTCCCATGGTTTGTATTTATTCAGTGCGCGGAGATGCTTTTTGGATTGTTCGAACTTTTTTTCGTCGGAACAAAACCAAGGGCACCTTGGACTCTGACTAGACTCTGCCAATCAATAGGACTTATGATTTGAACTGACACCTAAAATGTTATGTGTTATTTGAATTCTGTCATGGCGTCAGAGGAATTGAGAGCAGTTCCCGATTGTTATTTCATTACACTGAAAACTTGTTTACTTAGAATTTCAAAGCTTGGCAGGAAGCAGACATAAGAGGAACTTCAATTCCTTTCGACAGTACATTAGAACGTTTATCAGCGACTGTATTGAATTTCTCTGTAAATTTATGCTTCGTTCATGTTATCGTTACATTCCTATTACACCCTCTAATTCTCATGAGAGATCAAAAGAGAATTTCTCCTTACAATATCGAAACAATATCAATTAGACATGTAATGAGAATAAAGAAAAATATCGGTTACGGGATAAGTGGTTGATTCGATACCAAAGTAGCATCGTGACTGGGTAATTTAGTGTTATCAACTGAGTTGAAGACGTAAATTGGCCACCGTAAAGAGTTTAAAGGCTGACGTTTCGAGCGTTGTCAACATCATGGCAATTGTATAGCAGATAGTAATGAGAATTACTAAATGGGATATTTGGAGCGAAAGGGTTAGTGACCGTTTCAACAATAGAGAATTTTAATACTGAATTATGTTCGTCTAACAAGACCAAATACGTTTAAAGTGGATGTTTTTGCGAGTGAACCACACTCAATCGTTTCGCTTAAAAAGCAAGATTCAAAATTCCAGATCTATTCAGCTATTGATTTATAGTTTATTTTCATTTTTTTGCAGACTTCTTGGGAATATTACTGATGCTTCAATCGCGAATGAAACAGAAGACTGGACAAGAAAAGATTTAATCAGAGTTACCATGCAGACGAAGGGAATTGCTATCAAGATTGTATCAAGTCGAAGCTAGGATTAATTTACCAAAATCGCAGACTTAAAGCCAAACGTAAGCAAATGTTATCTCGTGGACTATTTGGAAGGTTTTTTCTGTCGACTCGACTCGTGTTGTGGGCAGTTTAAACATTTTCAACTTTCCCGCCAAAAAACTTGGAAAAATACGGGCGCTGTAATTACGCATGCGCCATTTATGTTTATTCATTCTGTAAGTAACATCTGTTCAATTGTGGTAAATTTTCCCGCCAAAAGACTTAGAAAAAATACGGTGCTTAAAAATACGCATGCGCCGAATTCTTTTTTTACATATTATGTTTATAACTTTTTTCTATATTTTCAATAAAGTTTACTTTTATTTTCTTGTTGTTTTCATGTGTTAGAACTGTATCTACCAGAAAAGTCGTAATCACTCAATAAACAACTTGTGTTTCGTTTGATAAATCATTTTATTTGTTCCAATTTTCTTCAAAATACAAGTTAATTAGACAAGTAATTTTCAGTTAAATTAATAAAAAGGTATTCAGAAGAATTTTCTAAATATATACTAAGACTTTTGGCGGGAAAATTTGGACGAATTTGCACAGAGTTTCCCCTGGCAACTTTTTCGCCAAAAATTTGAACAAAGTTTACTTTAAGATTTCCCGCCAAAAACGATTTAAACAGCATCTCGTGCAAAAAATTGAATCTCAATGCCAATTTCTCTTAAACCTGTTTTTTTTTTGTTAGGGCTGTTCTTAACGCTGGAGTTTTTCGTTTTCGATTCTTTGCACGAGATGAACTTAGAAAAAAGTTTTAACGTTAGAGCACCATGACAAGCTGTGGATAGTTCAATTCAATCAGAAAATAAAAATTTTTCGTCCAAATTTTTAATCATTTTTCCATTTGTTTCCAATCTGCAGGTATTTAAATCCGAATAATTATTTAGCCCGCAGCTTGCCATGGTACTTTTTCAGAATAAAAGATCTTAGATGCAGTCAGTTTTCAATGTAACACAGGATGCAAGACGGAAAAGCACCGAAACAATTCATTCAGGATTTTGAAATAAATTTTCGTAGTGAATTAATCATGCTTGATATTAAATACTAAACAAAATTGAACATTTCTTCTCTGAGTTCAAATGTTATAGAGATTTAAACTGAATTGTAAAAATAATTTGATCCATAAAATGAAAAATTATTGGAGCATACAGCTTGAATTTGATTTTAGCTGCAGAAGCTTTTCACAATTTACCTCTGATTTTTTATACTTAACTTTACTTCTAAGAAATTTGAGAAATAGCATCGAATCGACCGTCGGAGCATGTTCTTTTAATTCGACTTGAGCTTCAAGAGCTAAGACATAAAACAATTAAGCTCCAATTTTTTTAAATTCGTTCTCGAAGACATTTTGGGAAATAAATGATCAGTTGCTGGTCCTTACAATTATGTTCCAAATTCTCTTCACCTAATTCCTCAAACAAATTGAATTTAAAAATCAAAACCCCAAAATTTTATGGGCACTTTTCTTTTATATTCCTGTGTTACACCGACTGACAGCATTAAAGTTCTTTTTACTTAAGGTACAAATAAAGTAGCTACAATATTATTTTAAAATCTAATGCCTGTTCCAAAGATCAAAATGTATTTACTTTTCACGAGCGCAACCTAATTTGTCGATTGAACGAAACGTTTAAAAAAAAGACAGAAAAGAAACAGGTACATAAGCCAGCAAAAAAGCAAGAATTGCTGCACGAATTCAAATTCTCAAGATAAGTCAATTGACAACAGACTATGCATCTCAAGTGTTGTGACAAGATGAACGAACATTCCGGCTTAAAATTTCAATATCTTTGTTCTCCGTTACAAATTTGCAAACGTTTTAACAAGAGGACACAAAAGTGATTTATTTGATGAATAACCCAATTGCTTTTCTTGTTCTCTAACAAGATTAACAAGTCTTTGCCAAAAAGTCCACTTTGAGCCAATACTTAATTGCTTGACATAATTTCGAAAATGTTCTTATTCGTCGCTGTTAAGGAAAATTTTCCCAAAATTTACCTTCGTACAATAATTCAAAGACAATGTTAGAATTTTGCACGAGTATTATGTCAAAGAGTTTCGTTCCTTATTTAGCTAGAATAATTCTGGATCAAATGAAAGCACCAGTGAATCGACAAGTTACTAAGTCTGCAACATTAATTGTGATGTTTATATTCGAGTTTAAAAAGGTTACAACAGGCCAAATTCTCACATCTTACACTTGTTTGAAAATTCTTTTGACAAAAGACAATTATGCTTTTTCACAACGAACGTTTGGTAATAGTTTTGTTTCATTGTTTCTCACCAAATTAGCTTGCCTCTTTCAATTGTTGCTCGTCCACTTTGTTTTTTATTTTATGATTTGCGAAACCGTTTATCATCTTCATAAAGGTCAAGTCAGACACTCTTACGACGAGGCATTACTAGGATGAAAATCTTTGTGAAAAATTTGTGTTCGTGGGCACAACCCTTCAGAAAAAGCCAAAGTTTTCTCAAGACCCATCAGAATGTTTCGTCAATTGAAGGAGAACTGAGGCAACGTTGCTCTTATTCAGGTTCATTTCGGCAATGCTCTTTGTCATTGTTTATCAGCAGAAGAACCTTTTTGTTTTTTGTTGATTTTGTTATATATTTTTCAAACATTTACACAGCGTTTCAGGTATCCATGCTAATTTCAAACAAAAAATCTTCGAAACACGAAAATCTAAATGTTACTTTGTTCGCAGCTCGTTTGCATTACGATACATTTCAAAGCGAACGCCATTTGAAAGATCTTTTGACCAGGCATTGGAGTTTAAAACAAAGAGCTACCAAGCTAAAGATAAAACTAAACTCATTTGATGGGACAAAGATGAGTATTCAAAAATTAAGATGGCACTGGACTGGTTTTTTCTCTAAATTATGACAAACAAACACTTTATTGGTGAGCAAAAGTTGGAATTTTTCTTTTAGTTCATATCGAGAATGAAACTTTTATAATTGATGAAATCGATTTCTTTTTTTCAAACTATTTTCTGACGTTTTCCGTTGCCTGTGAAGCACTTTAACCCATCGTGTTGTATGATCGTCAGGGTAAGGTTTGTCTCTAGTAAAAAGGATTATTGTCGTAGTCAACGACCGATGTTTGACAACTTAAGCAGAAGTCATCGTCAAAGTTAAGTGAATGATTAAGTTTCTCAGTCGATTATTAATGTCTGAGTCGTAAAATTGTCTGTTATCTTTTTCGGCTGTTAGACTCAAGTAATATATTTCAGTCGTCCAACTGAATAGTTTCCATCTGTCGGTAACGTTAGATTGTTCTGTCTGGGCATGTAATGTGATGAAGTCGAGTTTGTGCGGGAATAGCAGATGTTGTCATGTTGAGGAGTGTTCAGGGTAAACTCATCAGCTTTCCAAAATTTAGTCACTTAAATCAGTTATTGCGATAAGCTCTCAGTTGAACGAAGTTCAAGTCGATAGACTTCTTTGCAATTCAGCGAAGAGATATTATTATTAGATATTATTATTTATTGTTGTGATTAATTCCTCTAATCTCAAGATGTGAATTTTTTTATTCATTAGTTTTGGTTTGAAGCCTTTTGTTCGCAGTGCCAACTTAACAAATATCACCTTCTTGCGACATCAAGTGAGATATAGCAGTGATACCAACTGTTAAGCAAAGAAAATTGAGTGATCAGTTTCACGGAATCACCAATTTCATGTGGCCAAGTTTGTATCGATGTCAAATTGCTACTTTTGTCAAAGCGATGAAGCGAATTTTTCTGATATATATGCTCAAATTAGGGCTAGCGTTCTAAAATGAATCACTGATCGCTCAAGATCTGCTTAACAATATGTATCATGACAAAACTACTCCAAAAATGGTGGCCGGTCGAAAACTATTCACTAACCGAGTAACTGGTTCTATTGCAGGCATCTCCTCCTCTAAGATAGCTCAAAAGACATTCGGCGAAAGAGAAGTATCTTGCAACAGTACTGAAGATTTCTAGAAGGTCACCATTTTTGCTACTGTTCTACAATAATAAAGTTCTTATCTTTGCAGTGTCCTCTTTTTATGTCCAGCGATTCCATTGTCCCCTCTTGACCAGATTCTTTATTCTTCTATACTCCTCAAAACATTTCTCTTCCTGTAAATAGGAATAAAGCGATATGATCAGGAACTGTTGAACACAACATACGATCTGGAGAGTTAAGTAATACTGAGGTATTATGCTCATTTTTCTTTGTACAGTTCCGTACAATTCCTTGAGAAGGGATTTGAAGACAGACTTGATAAATCTACGTGGTCGCGAAACCACAGAATTTTATTCCCTTCTAATAAAGCATTTATAAATCAACGTTCGGTCGCAAGGTAACTGTGAATTTAAGCAAAACGTTTTCTCCAATCAATGAATTTGCTTCTACGGAGACTGACACCTTTACCAAGTCTAACTTCGTGTCAATGAAGAGCAGCTCGGATCAAACAACTGAAACGTGTTCACTCGTTCTAGCAAAATGCTGGGACTTGCTCTGCTTTCTGAAGGAGTTGAAGGCAATATCCTCCAAACGAATGCTCACCTTGTGCAGTAGTCACATAACACTGCTCTCCGATGCTTCTCTTTGCAGGTCAATTGTCTTCCTCCAAAGCGCATCTTTAATTTTTCTACGTTATGAGATAAGACGCATCTTCACTCCTCGAAGAAAAGCGTGGTCTGCCAAAAAATCTTCGATTTGGGATGAATATGGATTAATAAATCCAGCCAATGAGCGGTTAATACGTCAGAGATTTGGCGCAGAGTTTTGCATGCACGCTTAGTTGACTAATCAAGAATCAGGAACAGAAAAGGGCATTGTGTGCGATGAATTCCCCCGTGAACTAAGAAAACAAGAATAAACAATATTTGCATTATTTAAATCATTCTTTAAACAGCTTTATTTAGATATTGCATTAATAAATGAACAAAACCAAAGAGAAACCTTGGAGGGAAAATATAGTAAAACTAACTCATCGTTTTTCTCTTATGATGCGGAAAGGCAAGATTCAAAGAACGCAAAATGCACCAAATGAACCTTGTATTTTTTTTAAGCAGGGAACGTAAGAATGACACAAAAAAAATGCGCTGATATTCTTGTGGGAAAATGTAAAGCTAATGAATACAGGATGCTGCCACTATACAGAGCAGAGACAAAGAAACATATTTAATACTTCCTGACGGCGTTTCCGGCCGTAAAGTGTATTTAGATTTTAATTAGTACTCTCAGAAGCGAATAATGAAAATAGATTGAGCAAAATGGTAATTCAAGGTCTCGAATATCGTGAGAGGGGGTGCACTGCAATTTTGGTTTGATCCCTGTGCAGTGATATCAGATCCAGCTTACTTCTAGAGCAGGCGAAATTTTTGTTGCATTTTTCAGGCAGGTGAAAATAAGCGCGAACCGAACGCGAAAGGTGAGGCACACGCGAGGGTAATAGCTTTTCCTCTCGCGCGTGAAATGATTTTACAAGTGAAACAGTTCAGACCACAAAGAACCGTAAAACGTAAATGAATGAAGAGATTTACACCAGGGGGCTTAGAAGGGGTCCTGAAGTACCTTTGACTAAGAGACGATTCGTTTTTTATTTCTGATTACCTTTTTTATCACAAACAAACAAATTTTATATCTTAATGGAATTTGATTCGAATGGAGGCTTGGGGAAGAGGAAAAACCGATCCCCGGAAAGCAGGGTTAAGGAGGGGGACTGGTGTCGGGTCGCGCTAGAGAAAGAGGCGTGGCTCTTAAGGCCCGACTTCAGTCTCCCTCGATTTTTCACTCTGCCGCTTCCATCGCGCCGTTTACTAATTCGGTCTTTTCTTACTAATTGAATGACTGGGTTAGAAATTTTAGTGGTGAAAAATATATTTACTTAAGTTGTGGTGCGGGGAAGTGAAGGAGGTGTCTGAATGAACAATCACGCAATAAATGATACCGTACCGTGAGAGGAAGAACATGAAAAGATACTTAGGAGACAGACAGGAGGTGCATTGGAAAGGTTTATCTTTTAACCCCCTGGAGTGACTTGCATCTAAGTTCCCCTTACAGTATTATCCCTGAATCAAAGATGATAGTCATGAGAATAGAGGAAATGATCACCAACTAAGGAGCTCCTGATTCTTCAACAAATTCTTCTTCTCAGTATCATAGGAAATGTATGGAGAACAATAAGGAGAATATGCGTACTGATCTTAAGGGGTAAAAAGTTAGCAAACCGTTCTCTCGAGTCCAGTCCTCCCCGAGAACAGACAACAGGAAGGGAGCGTGCACTCATTCCCAAAGGGCGGTGGTATAATTTTTCAGTTATTTGGAAAAGAAGGTAAAAGATGGTTTCTCATGTGGGACAAATATTTCTCCAAATATACATATCTACACCATTCCATTAATTAATGTCAAAATAATAAAGATATTCAGGTAACTGTAAGAAGTCTGCAACTTTATTTCGATTTCTCATGTTATCTTGTATGAAGATAACATGCAGTAACGTTGCTTAGAATAGTAAGAGTTGGTAACAAAAAAAATAAGTTTTGAAAGTAAAAATAGTGCTTAGCAGAATTAAAACAATTTAAAACGTGGTCGATTGCTGTGAAATTTAACATAACGTTAATTTCTTGCCTGTGACACCTTAACCCTTTGTCTCCCAGAAGTGATTAACGCGTAACTTCTCCGCACAGTATCCATACATTATCCTGTAAACAGGTAATGAGAAAACTCAAACTTATCAGGTACAAGTTGTAATATTGATCTACCTCCAAATTCTCGAAACTCATTCACAAGGAAATGTGTAGCAGCTAGAGAGGAGAATTAACAAGCAGATCTTGGGAGTTTAAGGATTATGATGTAAAAAAGTATTTTAAGGGAGCAGAAATAACATTCAATTCATTGACAAAGAGTTCTCCATCATACCTGAAAAATATTAGCTCGGCAGCAGGGCTAACGAAAAGAAATTTATACCTTAGTGAAATGATGATCATTTCTTATTACTGTGCCCTCGAGTTCGAATTTATTTTCATAGGCCTGCAATGGGTCTCTTTTCGTTTGTCTTCGAGTTTATCTTCGTTCCGGTTTAAAACTTTCATATTAATTTATTTACATAATTATTTACATCTCGGATAAATTATAGGGTCTTCAGACAGTTAGAGCATGTGGTGTCACAGTACCACCACTTTTGAAAATTTCCTCGGCAATCTTCTTAAGTTGTTCGTCTCCATTACTCTTCGTGCCTGCAAGATTAAAAGGGAAGAGAGTTCAAATAAATCTTGATATATAAATGCGATCAATACTTCGGGTGATTGTCGGCAATCGTTGGAAAGTCCTCAGGATTTCCGAAAATCTCTGCGAATATTTGCAACGGCGACGTTGCACTATCGTTGGTTGTTTTCGTATCTTGTTGGGGAACCTAGGATAACTTTGATTCTCGCGTGATCAACGACTCTTTCATTCTCCATCGAGAAACAAAGAAATAAATGTCCCGTGACCAAAAAAAGGCTCGAATTTAAGAATTCTTTGCGCAGGGAGAATGACACTTTTTGGCAATCAGTTGAGTTGCTATATCACGTTAGGTTTTTTAGGCGTATCATAAAAGTGCTCTTAAATTTTTTCAGTTTCCTGGCTTTCAGTCCGTGTGAATGATCTCCTTTTTCGACCATCTTCGCTACATTTAGTCAACTATCTTCTCCCTTCTTTGCTGTTTTGCTTTCATCTGAGAATTACTGAGATTGGGCGCGCTTCAAGGACGGTTACCAAGGAGAATTGTCAATTGAGGCTTCCTTCGATCGATGGTAATTCAGGATCAATGTCAGTATCTGAACAACTACGCACCTACCCCTCCCCTAACCCAACATTAACCCTGGCATGTAATAATGACATTTATCCGTAATTTCTGTCAAGAAAATTTATGAAGATTACGCTAATTTATCCGCTACATATAAATTAGTGTCGTGTGTTTTCCAAAGTTTAAATATAGATTCTCTTTCTCACCTGATTTGACTTCTTTGAGGAGAGTGTTGTTGGCATGATATTTTTCTTTGCATATTGTATCTACGAGAAGTGCCTGCCGGAGGAATACACACAGGGCATGAAGTTAAACATGGAACTACGTTTCATTGCAAGGCACAGGCAGTCGTTGAATAAGATGGTGGTTGTGTCTTTCAGCCAGCTGGGATCTCGATTGGTCGGTCAGTGGGTAATATAAGTCAGTCAGTCAGTCAGTTAGTTTAATGGACAGACACTGATGCAGTCGAGGAAACAGGGATTTGAACACTCGGTTTTTTACACACACACACAATCAGTAAGCCAGCCTTTAATTTATGCAGTAAGTTAGTAACACGAGCGTTTGGTCAGTCGGTCGGTGGTCGATTGATCGGACAGTAAGTAAGTCAGTCAGTCAGTCAAAGGGTCTGTCTTTCAGTCAATCAAAGAGTCTGTCTGTCAGTCAGACAAAGAGTCAGTCAATCAATCAGTCCGTCTGGCTGTCTGTCTGTCAATTGATCAGTCAGCTGTTCAGTAAGCTAGTCAGTCAGTCAGTCATTTATTCAGCCAGTGAGTCAGTCGTTTCAGCAATAATTTAGTCATTCTGGTCCGTCCCTCAGTAACAGGACAATGACTCGACAGTTGTTAGGTCAGATTGTCTGAAATTTACTCAATCCTGATCAAACGTGGTAAGTCCGTTAGTCTGTCAGTCAGTCCGTTAGACGGTCAGAATTCTGTCCGTCCAACATAAATGTACAACTGCTATGTACCTCGTGACTGGCGCTCGGTGAGCCCCGGTTGATAGACCTAGTTGCCCTGGAAATTACAGCCGTCATACCATACAAGTTAATGGCTACATCTGCCATTCTTTTCAGCAGAAATTGCTCCTCGATGATATTCTAAAAAATATAATAAATAAACAAACAAGGTGCCGTTAACCGAAAAAAAATTACTAGGGGAAACTTGGTGTTCAACAAGTCTGCGAATCTTTAAAGGAAGTACGCTGGATGCAGAAATCTTACTTGAAAATTATGCGGTCACAAAATATGGAAAAATATGGCTTTAGGAAGCACTGATGAATTTAGTCGAAAGAACCAATCAGAAGCGGACCTACACCTGACTTACTTGATTTCTCGCGCGCTTTACCGATTTGAGTTATGATTGGTTTACTTTAAGTGTTACGCGCGCAATCATTCTGTACAAATTGACAATAATAGTGATGATAGGGTAGAGAGATTAACCTTCTTCCTAATATAAATTACCTTTCCAAATTTGGAAAGCAAGTTTTCAGATATCCTTCCAAAGTCAGCGATATTCTCCTCCAATTTTTTGACGCTGTCCTTTAAAAAGTAGAATAAAATATGACGTATCACTGACGGAGAAAATTCAGCAACTACAAATAGTGATAACATCTAAACGCAGCGTCAAGTAATTTTAGGCATTTGAAAAAAGAAACAAACCTTCCTCCCCCTTAAAAAATATCTTCTACCATCCTGCTGCAAAAAAGAGAGCCACTGGGTCCGTTGTCTAATGGTGAACGCCGATTACTTTCGCCACAATAATCTACCTGCGCGCTCAAGTTTTCAAGAACACTGGACCTGCTCACATAGAGTCTGTCGTTGGTTAGGTCACTGCACTTCCACTTATCTCGAATACAAAAAAATATCTGTGCCTTACCGCCAATTGTGGGTGTGAAACATTGGCAATTCCCTGCAGATTTCCTTTTAGTCCTAAGGCATAGAGAGCTCTCTTTTTCAAGAAGTCCGTCATGAATTCAACGTTTCCAAAAGGGTTCTTTAGGTATCTGATAAAACAGTCAAAATGATAGTTAGGAGCACAACTAAGGGGAAATTCCTTAACCCTTTACCTCCCAAGAGCGACCAAGAGATAATTTCTCCTTACAATATCAATACAATGATCAATGTACGGCCACTTCAACGTTCCTTAAGTAACAACTCACTTTAATACTTCCTGCAAGTGTTTTCCAGCATGCTGCATTCCTGCAAGAGCTATGTACATTCGGAGGATTTCGTTTGTTCCCTGTTAAACATAAGAAAAATGGAAAGGCAGGTAAGATTTTCAGTGGGAGGTGTCCGGTTTTATAAACAAACATTCACCAATAAAAACGAAAATAAATGCTTCACCTAAAAAAACCCTCTTTACAGAGAGTCTCAAAATTCACCCATAATATATTGCTAACCTCAAATATCAACAAGATTCTTGAGTCCCTCATGACTCTTTCATAGGGATATTCTTTCATATACCCAAGGCCT